TTATCTCCTTTATCCTTTTGTTCCTTCCCTCATAGAGGTTACTACTTTTGAGGTTCTGCCCTTTAGTCTTTGACCTAACCCCTTATATTAACTCTGTAAAGCCTTTATCTTTTCCCTGACTGCATCATTCCTACCAATGTGGACAATAACTCCCAGTATCTCACACTCCCCTTTAACAATTAGCTTCAAACATTGTGAGACATCCTTAATCCTGGCACCAGAGTCTCTTAGATTCATGCTCAATGCTGCAGAATTCCCGGTCTGTGCCTCTCCAACAATTATTTTAAATTTTGTCAAACACCGCCTAACGTCAGATTCGTTCTTAGTACCCAAGATCTGATGGCCACTTCTACTTTCCTCTAAAAGACTGTCCCTTTCTACAGTACCCAAAATGAAATATGTGTTTGAGAAAGGAATAGCCACAGGAGATTTCCGACTGCTTTCTTACCTTTCCTGAGAATCACCCATCTACCTGACTGATCCTGTTCTATACTCACTTCTCTAAATCTACTAGCCATCTCACTCTGTCTCTCTTGTATGCTCTCAATGTCATTAAGCCTAAAAAGAAACAGCTCACATTAGCACCTTTATATGAAATACTTTACCCAAATAACTAGTATTAAGCAAGCAAAAAATAAAATAAGAAACCATATCAAACACATAAATCTTAAATAAAATCAACCACTTCACTGGAACAATTGAATTTAGAAAAAAAAACTCAAGTGCTGCTGCTCAAGTGGTTCACCCATGTGTTGACCTCTTCAACATCTCCGCAAACACAGCTCTTTTTTTAAAAAAATGCCTCTCCCCTACAATTTAAAACAAAATCGCTTTAGCGGTGTTAAAAAAAATCCCTCCTTCTATGTGTATAATTTTACAGAAAATTAAAGCCCAAGCTGTCCACATGTAGGCCTCTCCTAGAGGTCCATTAACAAAACTCCTTTTGAAAAAAAAATCACACACTTTTCTTGGGAGTTTTTTTGCGTTTTTGTCTATTAAAAAAAAGTCCAAAAATGTAACAAAATAAAAATTCTTAAACTACTGAAATGTAATAACAGTAAGAAATCTAGAAGTCAGATAGTTGTAGGCCTTTTTAAAAATTCCATGAACACAACTCCGTTTGAAAAAGTAACACGCTTTTGATTTGCGTTTTTGACTATAAAAGCATCAAAAATGAATTAGAAATAAAGATCTTACACTAATAAACTGTAATAACCATAAGAAATCTAGAAGTAAATGAAGAAATAATCCAGCAATCTGAGGAGCAGCAGGAAGATCCATGCTTCTCTCTGTCTGCTATTTTGGACTCCTGCCTGGCAGGGTCTCATGGTTGTAGTAGGCCCGCAGCAGGGACTTCTGGTCCCGGAGAGTGGAGCCAGGCACTTTCCCAAGGCCTTAGAAGGGAAAAATGTGTTCCAGGCTCCCCAGGTGACCTACTTGGGCTACAGAGTTGACAAGACCAGCTTACACCCATTAGAAGACAAAGTGAGGACGATCAAATGTGCCCCAGCTCCCACATCTGTACTGGATGTTATGGCATTTCTTGGGCTGGTAAATTATTATGAAAAGTTCAAGATGGCCTCCATCTTGGCATCTAACCATAAAAAAAAAGGGTCAGCCTTGGACCCGGTGGCACAGACAAGCCCTAGCTTTCTGGGGAGTGAAGAAACAGCTGTCATTCTCTAAGGTGTTGGCACACTGTGATGCCAAGATGCAATGCCACCCTGTATCAAGGTGGTATTAGCTCAGAGGTGATCCAATGGAGAGGGGCACCCAATAGCTTAAGAATCCAGGACTTTGACTAATGCAGAGCGTAAATACACTCAGACAGAGAAAGAAGGATCGGAGGTCAAGGTGACTCAGTGGTTAGCACTGCTGCCTCACAGCGCCGGGACCCCAGGTTTGATTCCACCCTCGGTCGACTGTCTGTGTGGAGTTTGCACATTCTCCCTGTGTCAGCGTGGGTTTCCTCTGGGTGCTCCGGTTTCCTCCCACCGTCCAAAGATGTGCAGGCTAGGTGGATCGGCCATGCTAAATTGCCCATAGTGTTCAGGAATGTGTAGATTAGGTGGATGGGTCTGGGTGGGATGTTCTGAGAGTCAGTGTGGACTTGTTGGGCCGAAGGGCCTGTTTCCACATTGCAGGGATTCTATGATTCTAACGTCATATTTGGAATCAGGAAGTTCCACCAATCCCTTTATGGGTGAGAATTTGTGATAATTATGGACTACAAACCCCTACTGGGTCTGCTTAAATTGGACAAGGCAGTGCTGCCTGAAATAACTCCACAGACACTGGTATCCCATCACCACGTCACCCTTTATTTACATGTATATAGTACACGAGACTGACCCAGCTAACACAGAGCCAGCTCTCAGCGGGAGCAGAACCCCTGAGACTCCCTTTTATATCTGCCAGCTAGGGCCCCCTGATTGGACCAGGTTCACAGTCCCAATCAGGGAAGTTGTATTCTATGAGATCCATTCTATGGCTTCATTCCAGTCATTACAACCCTCTAAATCCTGAGATGTAGGCCCGTACTTTTTCCTGTAGCTTCTCCTGGGGCATTTCCACATCAGGTCCAGTTTCTCCGACTCAGCCTCGGATATGGGCGACATGTACCAGATGGAAGCCTGCCGCTTGCACCTGGATTGTCTCAAAAGAAATTCATTCTTTGTCAGGGGGTAATGGCATTGAGGCTGCGACATCTGCCATGTACATCTCATCCTCGGAGATTTCCTCAACACTATGCAGAAGAGGAGAACCCACACCATCCCCATGGTTTTGACACCCTGAAATAAACTTTCTCTCCTTAGAGGAGGCATATAGCCAGCACTAGAGTATCTACTGCCATCTCACAATCACCACCATCACAAACTGTACCCCCTCACCCTGGCCAGATCAGGTTTAACGTGGCGCGGAGTCTACTCCCCATTGGCAGCCCTACTGGAGCTATCCCTGTAGTTGTGTGTGGGGTGACCCTATAATCGAACAGGAACCGGGACGGTTTTGTATCACGTGACGTTGTAGGCTGCTGCTTTAAGGCTTTGCACTGCTCTTTCTGCTCAGACCATCGCTCGGGTGGTATGGAACTGTCTGAACATGCCAAATGCCATTTAACTTTAGGAAATACTCAAATCTCCTGTTGGTCAATGATGGCCCATTGTCTGTGACCAACATTTCTGGGAGTCTGTGTATTGAAAGAGATACTAAGAACTGCGGATGCTAGAGTGAGAGATAACACAGTGTGGAGCTGGATGAACACGGCACGTCAGGCAGCATCAGAGGAGTGGGAAAGCTGACGTTTCGGGTCAGGACTCTTCTTCAGAAAATCTTCAGCTCCACACTGTGTTATCTCTGACTCCAGCATCTGCAGTTCTTTCATAGAATCCCTACAGTGTGGAAACAGGGCCTTCGGCCCAACAAGTCCACACTGACCCTCAGAGCGTCCCACCCAGACCCATCCCACTATTAGCCACGTCATCTACACATCCATGGGCACTATGGGACAATTTGGCATGGCCAATCCACCCTAACCTGCACATCTTTGGACTGTGGGAGGAAACCAGAGCACCTGGAGGAAACCCACGCAGACACGGGGAGAATGTGCAAACTCCACACAGACGGTTGCCCGAGGGTGGAATCGAACCCAGGTCCCTAGTGCTGTGAGGCAGCAGTGCTAACCACTGAGTCACTGTGCTGCCCCTATTCTATTTATTTCTGAGCTCCCTTCTCCCTCCCCCATTTCTGAAGAAGGGTCCCGACTCGAAACGTCAGCTTTCCTGCTCCTCTGATGCTGTCTGGCCTGCTGTGTTCCTCCAGCTCCACACCGTGTTATCTCTGTAATGAAAGAGATGCCCAGTTTTTGTATTGTTGTCCCTGTGTTTGCTGAATGAACGTCCAACCATTTTGCGCGGGTGTTCACAATGACTAAACGTATAGAGCCCATGAAAGGACCTGCATAGTCAACATGTAACTGAGTCCAGGGTTTACACGGCCATTCCCACAAATGTGGGGGAGATGCTGGTGGTAAGTTTTGTCCTTGTTGGCGCTCTGGGCACTGCCCCATCAACGCGACTATGTCAATCCTGGCCACCAGACATTATTTGTTGCCAACATCTTCATTTTGAAAAAGCCATGGACGGCTCTGGTGGCCAGCTTTTACTCGGGACAATCGCTCTTGTTCCCCCTAATAGTGTGCCATCCTCTGTTGTGATCTGGTCTCTCCAGTTTTCAGTTCTGTTTGTGATGTCCCTCCTGCTTCCCCATCACCACCAGCTGTTTTAGCTTTGCTAGGGTGGGATCTCTTTGTGACCACAGTCAGCGGTGACCGGAAGGGTGTCCCAAAAGTTTAAAACCAGAACGGACTTTTCCAATGTTGGCACCACCAGTGGAAGGCTGCTCAAGGCATCTGCATTTGCCACGTGGCCTCCCAGATGCTGCTCCAACTTGTAACAGTATGCACTCAGAGACCAACGCTGCATTCAACTTGAAGCTATGGTTGGCACACCCTTATCCCCTTTGAGTAAGCCCTACCAGGGGTTTGTGGTCCACTATTAGTTACAAATTTATGTCCATAAAGGTGTTGGTGGAACTTGCGCCAAACCTTCCTTCGCCATCTGGGCATATCTTCCCTCGGCATCAGCCAAAGTCTGGGAAGTGGGCACTATCAGGTGTTTCTCTCCGCTGGGTGAGCCAACACTGCCCCGATACTGTACGGGGAGGCATCTCATAGGCAGCACCACATCTCACTTGTGATTGTTGTTGGCCAACACCTTGGAAAACGGGAGCTGCTTTCTTTCACTTCCCTAAAGGCTGCTGCTTGGCTACTCCCAAGGCTGACCCTTTAACAATTAGCAGGTGTAAGGCTTCCAAGATGGAGGCCAGCTTACATATGAATTTCCGTTAATAATTCACCAACTCAGGAAAAGACCTAACTCTGGTACAGATGTGGGAGCTGGGGCTCCTTTGATCCCCCTCACTTTCTCTTCCAACAGGTGTCACCCAGTCTTGTCCACTCTGTAACCCAAGCTGGTAACTGGGGGTGCCAGGAACACACATTTTTCCAACCGAAGGCATATGCCCACCTGGTAGAAACGTTTAAGCACTATGTCCATGTTCTCCAAGCGCTCTTTATCAGTCTTCCCCGTCATTGGTACATCATCCAGATAAATGGCAGCCTGGGCCAGCCCTTGTAAAATGCTAACTAAAAACCTGAAAGAACTACAGATACTACAGAATCAGGAATAGAAACAGAAGTTGCTGGAAAAGCTCAGCAGGTCTGGCAGCATCTGTGAAGAAAAAAAAAATCAGAGTTAACATTTCGGGTCCTCAGAACTCACCTGAAACGTTAACTCTGATATCTTTTTCTCTTCACAGATGCTGCCAGAGCTGCTGATTTTTCCAGCAACTTTCTGCTTTTGTTCCTTGTAAGATGTTCTCTAAGGTCCACTGGAAAAGGACATGGGCTGATGATACGCCAAATGGCAATCTTGTGTATTGATATAAATCCTTTTGGGTGTTAAATTGTATCGTAACCCTGGGACTCCTCATCCAGCCACAATTGCAGGTAGGCACGGCTCATGTCCAGCTTTGTGAAGGACAGACCAATCCCTGCCAGTTTTTCATGGAAGTCCTTGTTACCAGGGATCAGGTATTTATCCAGCTGTGAGAAGCAGTTTACTTAAAGTTTGCTTAAAGTCCCCAGAAAGGTGAACCGTCCAGCTGGGCTTCACAATCAGTATGACCATTGCTGCCCATTCTGCAAACTGGTAATTCCTTCACTTTCCAGCCTCCTGATTTCTGCCCCTATTTTTGTCCATGAGGCCTTTCAGAATTGTGGGAATGCTGACTGGTCAACATGCAAGGTGGCCTTGGCCCCCTTTGATAGTCCCTAGACCTTCCTGAAAAACATCTGGGTATTTAATTAGGACTTCACCATGGCAGCCACTTTCTAACTGAAAAATGTTGAGCCAATCAAGGTGAATCTTTCTCAGACGATTCTGCCCCTTCAGGCTCGGGCTGGAACCTCTTATTGCAGTCTGTGGTAACTGCACCAATTGCTTTTCTTAGGAGACTGGAACCAAAGTCATACTCTTAATCTGTAACAGGTCCCTGGGATAGGTCCTCAGCCTGGCCGAGGTCTTGTGCAAACTTTAGGGTTGGTAAGGACCGTTTCCACAATCACTGAACCAGCCACATTGATCTCCACCTCCATTAGAACCTGGTGACCATTTAACCAGAGGTTTATTTCGATTAGTTCTGATTTGGATGTTGCGAAGCAATGTAACTATCCCAGACCAGATATAGGTGGACTTTCCATGATGTGCACTCTCCTGGATGCCAGGCTATGAGTTCTCTTCCTCAACTCAGGTCTAGTGGGACTCTTTTACTGTCTCGAGTCTGCATACCAGCAGCAACTACGCATACTGAGGAAAATGTTAATTGTTTG